TATCAATAAAATACCTATTTTATTTTAATTAACAATTATTTTTATTTGAAACACCAAAATTTCATATTTAAATATTAAAATTTATATTTTTCTCACGTGTCACTGTCAGTAAAAATACCTATTTTATTTTAATTGATAGTTTATATTTATTTTAAACACAATTTTTATTTTCAAATGTTAAAATTTCTTTTTTTCTTACATATCATTATTAACAAAACATATATTTTTATTTCAATTAACAATTATTTTTATTTAAAACACAAAAAATTTATTTTAAAATATAAAAAATTTCTCTTTTTTTCACATACATCTCTCAACTACTCTCTTCTTCCTTTTTAATTATCACATTTTGACATTTTACACTTATCAAAATAATTAATAACGTTTGTTACTGTTTTTAAGTATGTTTTTTCTTTTTTCTATAATACATATAATTTTTAATTATTTTAATATTTTTTTTCTCTCTCATAATAAATAGATAAGGATAATTTTGACAAAATTATACTTCTTCATTGTCGTTTTAAAAATAAATTTTGTTTTAAAATGATTATCATTTTCACTTTTCAATATAATATTAATTAAAAAAATTTTAAAAGTGTCATTTATTTTTTGCTCTCTACACTATTTCTAATATACTAATAGGATTAATTTTATAAAAATATAATATCTTATAATAACATTATTATATTCTTTAATTTGTGTATAAAAATTTTAAACGACAATAATTTTGAAATAGAAAATAACAATTATTACATCATTTTGAAAAAGAGGAATAATTATTATTACATTAAAATTTAAAAACGATAATTAAATAGAAATAAATTTTTTTCACAAAAATAGCAATTATAAAATAACGGATGGAGTATTATATAATGTATACGAGTTCAAACAAGTGACCCCACAACTGCATGATATTGAATTTTTTCTCAAAATGCCACATCCCTGAAATCAAATTCTCAATATGCCACGCCCTGAAAACAAATTCTCAAAATGCCACACCCAGGAGGGTTTCACGCCATTTGAGATGGCGCAAAGGTGAGCTGGATGGGCTCACGCCATTTCAAATGGCGTGAAGGTGTTATATTTTTTTTTTCTTCGTTTTTCTGAATTAAAATTATTTATTTTAATAACTTTTATTATTTAATATTTATATTAATTAAGAAAATACTTTTTATTAAATAAACTTTATTATATAATGTTTATATTAATTACAAATACTTTTTATTAAATAAAATGTATTATTTAATGTTTATATTAATTACAAATACTTTTTATAAAATAAATTTTATTATTTTTATGTTTATACCTTTAACAATTAAATATGAAAATAAATAAAATATTTAACAATTACAAAATGAAACTAAATTTTTTTTATTAAATAAATAAAATATGCCAATTACAATCAAAATGCAAAATAAAATAAAACTAGTTAGAAGGGCCTGCATTGTTGAGCCGATGCGGACATTTTTTCCGCATATGAGGTTGTTGACAGATACCGCATCGTCTTTTTATTTTTTCAACAGTGTCCATTTCAGTTCTAATGCGAGTACTGTTTGGGCGACCTTTTTTGTTTCGTCGCATCCTTTCATCATGCATAAGAGTATCGCCCAAATACGGAGGCCAATTATCTTCTTGGGGAACACCGAGGAAACTTTGTATGTAAACTTTGAAGACGTTTATAACTCTATACAAGTCAGGAATAAACGTAGTATAATCGTGGTTAATGTGAGAACACGCTGCGATAGCATGTGAGCAAGGCAGATGAAAAGTTTGAAATCTCCCACAGTCACAAGTTCTTGTTTGGAGGTTGACGTTGAAATGGGTAAGTGGTCGACAATTCCTATTATTAACCGTCTCTTGAACCACGAAATAATGACTTTCACGGTCAAAAGCCAAGACATTATAACTGTGAGATTTTTCTACTTCTTCTGCAATTCCTTTCATGCAGTTATCTGTGAACTCCTTTCCTGATGACAAATTTTTGGTCCAATCCTTTCCTCGCTTACCCCACAATGTTCCCATCCTGTAGTATGTTGATCTTACAAGTGATGTAATAGGTAGGTTTCGGGTTTCCTTCAAAACTGAGTTCAAAGATTCAGCTAGGTTGGTTGTCATGTGACCCCATCGTGCTCCTCCGTCGTAAGCTCGCGACCATTTTTCTCTCGGAAGGTTCTCTATCCAATTAAAAGCCTCTGTGTTTGTTTGGCGGATCTCCTCCCGATAATATGCGTATGTAGACTCATTAATTGCATACCCTTCATAAAAGCATTAAAACATTAATATAAAAGAACTATATATTGAAATGCCGTGTTAAAAATTAGAGAGTAATTACCCATGTTAACAACTGTCTTGCGAAGGTTTTTGTCCTTGATGGCTCGCATGAAGTTTTGTGCGATGTGCCTAATGCAATACACATGCACCGAGGGTGGGTTCTGCCAGCCATTATCCGGGTTATTGTAGGCACTCCTAATGGACTCGTGTCGGTCAGATATCAAACATAAGTTTGATTGGGGTGTGACGTGGAGTCTCAAATTTTTCAGAAAGAAACTCCAAGCTCCTCCGGTCTCACCTTCGACCAATGCATATGCGATTGGGAAAATGTTACCATTCCCATCTTGTGCAACAGCCAGGAGCAATGTTCCCCTATATTTTCCATACAGCCATGTACCATCTACCTGCACTATAGGTTTACAATGTGCGAAACCCCTAATACAAGGTTGAAATGCCCAAAATAGGCGATGGAAAATTCTTGCACCACCAATTTGTGTTCCTTCATTTGAATATACAGGAAGTGTTTCAAGATCTATAATGGTACCTGGGAGAAATTGTTGCATGACTAGCAACCACTGCGGAAGATTGTTGTAAGAGGCCTCCCAATTACCATAAATATCTTCGATTGCTTTGTTCTTTGCAATCCATGCCTTTTTGTAAGACACGGTGTAGCCATAAGTCGTACGAATATGAGCAATAATATGTCTAACCTTGATTGCCGCGTCGCTGTCAACAAGAGGTCTGATGTTATGAGCGATCATCTTTGAGGTAAGCTTTTTGTGATCTTGACATATAGCAGTCGACATGCAAGTGTGTGGCCCTCCAATTTTGCCAATAACCCATTTACCACACCCCTCCCTTAACGAAGCCCTACATGTGAAGTTGCATTCCTCCTTTTTACATTTAATTAAATATCGTGTAGGATCAGACTTACAAACCTTAAATGTATGAGAATTTTTTATGTGATACTCAGATATTGCAAGGAGACATGCTTCTTTGTTTTCAAAAGTCATACCAACCTTTAAGTCATCACATGACTCACGTTCGTGTACGGATTCGAAGACTGAAATTGGTTCCACACATTCAAGTGAAACGTTTCTCAAGTGATAGGGTGGGTTATACAGATCAAGTATAGGAGCCGGTTCTTCCTCCAGCCTATCATCGTCACCTGACTCATCACTGGATCCACTAAACAAATTAATTTGTCTAGTATCGTCGGAGTCAGTATCATCACCCACTTCCTCTTCCGGAAATATTGGCTCGTTATGTTGTACTTCGACAGACTCTTCTTGTTGGGAGACCTGACTTTGTTGATATGCATGAGTTTGTGATGATTGTGTTGGAAATACTTCATGCATTTGTTGAAAACAAATATACAACTCCATTTCTTGTTGACTGCAAAACCTTGAGTGACATTGAAGCATTGAACGGACATCTTCATCGTCTTCGATTTTTGCAGTGTTGTATGTGACATTGTGATCAACTGGATTAACTACTGGATATCGATAAAAAATAGAAGCTACATGTTGTCGTAAAGTTTCTTCTATTTTTTCCGTCAGCTGAGCTAAATCACTATTTCGATGAATTTTTAAAATATTTGTATCTGTATTTTGAAATACCACTCCAATAATTTCATCGGTATAAATATTACCGTTGAAATGTAACAGACAAGAAATATGATTTTGTGGCATTGTGTTGAAGTGGAAAATATGTGATAGTTTGGTTTGTTGAATACTTGAATTGTAAAATGCATGTATTAAATAACAAACAGCAAAAGCGTTGGATTTTCATGCATGCATACTCACGCCATTTCAAATGGCGTGAAGGCCATAAAGGCGCCATTTCAAATGGCGTGAAGGGTAGGTTTGCTCCAAATGAAATGGCGTGAAGGGTAGGTTTGCTCCAAATGAAATGGCGTGAAGGGTGGGTTTGCTCCAAATGAAATGGCGTGAAGGGTGGGTTTGCTCCATTTCAAATGGCGTGAAACTTATGTGTCTGGCGTGAAGTCATATGTTGCATGCATATATATATGAGCTACAATAAACGATAATGTTATCAGATTAAAATGAGTCTGATACTCTGCTCCGTATACATTATTCCGTATAATTCACAGGTTGCTATGTTTGAGTATAGAAATTCATTTTCTAATCCTTTGGTTGTGCGGCTTATGGAAAGATCTAAACTAATTCATTTGAAAAATCAATTACGTCAAGTCACAAATATTAATAGGAGCATCACAGAGATCTCTTTCAACCGAACTACCATCAACGAAAATGGTGTCTTGATGCAGCATATTACACAGTTAGTTACAAATACAGATGTATTTAATATGTTTGAGGATTTTCGAACTGGTGTTAATAAAACACCTTTTGAGTTGTATGTCAGATTCAGTAGATCAGCGGATGAGGTTTTATCATTGTGTACAAAACCGTGTAATTTACAATATTCGCAATAAATTACAAATTCATATTTATCCAACTTTCATTAAATTATTCTACTACCTACCAACTCTAATTAAATAACTTTACTACCTACTAACCATAATTAATTAAATTATTCAACTACCAACCAACCACACTCACCTCTTTTTTCTATAAATACCCAATCACTCTCACCTCATTTCTCCACAAACACACTTCATTCTATTCACACTCTCTACTCTCTACTCTCTTTTGATAAGTTTTCTCTTCTCTCTCTTTTCACAAGTCTTGTTCTTCATTTTCACAGTTATGGCCAATATGTTTTGGTATGGTACACAACATAGGGGAACGGTAGAAAATATCAATGCTGTAAGTTTTTTTGATTTATCCAACTTTATTCGTATTATTTATTTTTGAGTTTACAATACTAGTTTTATTCATAATTTTCATAGAAATAATGAATATTTTTCTATATTATTTATTTCTATTACAGATTGATGATAATTATATTTCAAAATGGAGAATCCGTGCTCACAAACCTCTGAAGCCACATGGAGCCATAATCCCGTACCTTCATCAATCTGGGTTCTACCATATTTCTACAATAGGGTCAACACATATCGATTCAAGGTTAGTTATAGCCTTACTAGAACGGTGGAGACCCGAAACTCATACATTTCATCTTCCAAATGGTGAATGCACAATTACGTTGGAAGATGTGAGTATGTTACTGGGTCTGCCTGTTGATGGAAAAGCGGTAAATGGTCAATCTGAGCTGGGTGATGGTGCATGGAGTTCTATTTTAGGGGATGAACCGCCACAAAGTGATAAAGGAATGACGGCGAGGTTGACATGGCTTAAAGACATGTACCAACATGAACCACCAACCGAGGAGTCACCCGAGGAGTATAAAATTAAACATGCTCGTATTTATATTTTACTCCTTATCGGGCAAGTTTTGTTTCCCAACAAAAGCGGAAACACTATACACTCAAAATGGACACAATTTGTTGTTGATTTAGAAGATTGTGGAAAATTTAGTTGGGGTTCCGCCGTTTTAGCGAATCTATATAGGGAAATGTGCAAGGCGGTAGACGTAAAAGTAACGGAGCTGTCAGGATGCGTTTTACTTCTTCAAGCTTGGGCTTTCACACGCATGCCTATAATATCTCCGGTGGCTCCGCTTCAATCTCCATATCCATACGCAAGAAGGTAATATTTTATTTTAAATTTAAAATTATAATTAATATTGTTAGGATACTCTAAAATAAAATTTTATTTTGAATTCTTTTTAGATGGTTGATCAAGAAACTTGACTACCAAAACAACCCGCGCCACCATCTTCAAGGATACCGATTCAGGATTGATCACATGCTTGAAGATCAGGTTTTTTTGTCTTCACCTTAATATTTCTTATAAATTTTTGAATTTTATTTTGGTTAAATTAAAATATTTTATCTACAACTTCTCAGTTTATTTGGAGGCCGTATCTTGGATTAGCGCCCCAAAGGCACGAGAACAGCTTGATATGGAGTTCAACTACGTATATGATATGCTTTCATATTGTAGAAATGCATCAAGCTGATAGGGTCAAACTACAATTTGGCCATTTACAAGGATACCTGAAGAAGCTCGATGCTTGGCTGAACACCATAAAATGACAACATTAAAAGCGCGTCGACATGCATATACCACATTATATGCTGACGAACAAAATTGTTGGTTGCATCGAGAATTGTTTACGTTGGATGGAGATCAACTACAAACAGAGGAGAAACCGTCAAAACAGTACATGCAATGGTATCACTCACTTCCTCATAGATATGCATCGTACGAACAATTTCTCACTGACCCTCGCCAAAATCAATATGCCTCTACTCAGGCAAGTGGCTCTCAACAAACTCACCACTCACAACATTCTCAGCCTCCCCAACCCCAATCCTTCCAACAACAAACTCCTCACTTTTCCCAACATCAAACACCCATCCCCCATTATCCTGAACAACAAACTTTTAACCCACATTTATCTCAACTACAAACTCCTGCCCCTTATTTTTATCAAAATCAAACCTTTAACACCCAATACCCTCAATCTCACTCCCAACCAAATTACATTTATGAATCCCAACAACCACAATTTTATAATAGGCCAACCACACAATTCACACCCATCATGCGACCAAACTTCGATTCCTCCTCCTCCCAACATAACCCGCCCTCCTCCTCCCAACATAACCCGCCATATTTTCCAACCATGTGTCCCCCACAACAGCCGCAATATAATTTGGGCGAGGATCTTAACGTCAGTGATTATGATTTACTGCAAAGTATTTGGTCTCCTCCACAAGCTACCGCTCCTACTCAAGATAATCCTCCATCATCAGATGCAACACAACAAAATCCTCCGACAACAGAGACCGAAGAACAATATGGTTTTGGTCATCGTGCTCCGCGACCGCGTCATTGTTTTACCGGTACTCGTTTAGGACCGGATCATCAGCATTAAATAGTATAATTGTGAATGTTTAACAGTTTTATTTTATTTTGCATTTTGATTGTAATTGGCATATTTTATTTATTTAATAAAAAAAATTTATTTTCATTTTGTAATTGTTAAATATTTTATTTATTTTCATATTTAATTGTTAAAGGTATAAACATAAAAATAATAAAATTTATTTTATAAAAAGTATTTGTAATTAATATAAACATTAAATAATACATTTTATTTAATAAAAAGTATTTGTAATTAATATAAACATTATATAATAAAGTTTATTTAATAAAAAGTATTTTCTTAATTAATATAAATATTAAATAATAAAAGTTATTAAAATAAATAATTTTAATTCAGAAAAACGAAAAAAAAAAAAATATAACACCTTCACGCCATTTGAAATGGCGTGAGCCCATCCAGCTCACCTTTGCGCCATCTCAAATGGCGTGAAATCCTTCTGGGTGTGGCATTTTGAGAATTTGTTTTCAGGGCGTGACATATTGGGAATTTGATTTCAGGGATGTGGCATTTTGAGAAAAAATTCCATGATATTAGGGTGAAGATATCTGCAAGCATTATTGCTTTGAGAATCAAACAAAAACATCAATATGGGTTGCGATACTGTGATAGCAGAATGCTCACATGGCCTCCAAGTAAATGGATTTTTTTAGTAAAGTGGTCTGACAGATATGAAACAAGGTCGCAGAGGTCGAACACGAAATCCAATCATGATAAAGTTCCGATTACTGCCCAAGGAAGCACTCACGCGGCCATAATATTGAGTTGAGATTTTCTTCATTTAAAAAAAAAATAGAACATATAATTATTAAAATGTTAATTATATAAATATATGTATTACTATATTAACTTGAATCACTCAATCTTAATCCAAAAGATTACTATAAACCTTCAGACAAAAGGTTGAGAGCAATTCACATCTCTTGAAAAAGTTATTAAATGATGTCATACTTTATACTACTATACAGAATTAGAAGGGTGTTGATGTTATATTTATAGGTGTGATTTTCCCTAAATAATATTATAAGATGTGCAAAATACTTGCAAATCTAAAAAAATATTGATGATACTTGATCTGATGATGAATAATTTCATATTCAGTCAATGTCGACTAGTTAACAATAATTACAATAATTGATCAAGTGATTGGTCCAAAATTAGACATATCAACTACTAACTACTTGTAGTTGTAGTATTCTTCAAAGAAAAACAAACTTAATAATTATTATTTTCCATAATAAAAAAAATACATGTACAGTCAGATTTGATCCGATTTTAACAATTTACAAGATATGCTGTAAATTGAAGGGGATATGGCATATCGTTGAAATGAAAACTTGATTGAGACACAGCACTATGCGCTATTATTTGTGGGGTACCCCATACTATATTCTAGTTGCATCTATTCTACAATTTCTGGCTTCGACTTAATGTTGTCATAATGTTGTAGTGGTAAGAGTTGGGATCCGCTCCATTATGTGAAAAAAATGGAGAGTAGGAGTACATAATGTATTTATTGTATAAATTTTAAAATATACAAAATATATGTTATATTTTTCAATAATATAATATGTAATGACACTTTCTATTTTCTAAAAGAAATTTAGAAGATTTCAACTCTTTACAACTGAGCTGAAATCCTCTCTATTTTTTTTAAAATAAAGAGTATCAGTATTAATATTTTTATTATATAAAATTCATAATTTATAAAATATATAATACACTTTTCAATAATATAAATATTATGCTTTAATATTTTAATTTCATAAATAATGAAATTCTCATTGACAAACCTTTATGCATCGTAGGCATAAAGAGGATTAAAAAACTACATACTGATCTTAGCATATTGTAGAAATATCATTTAAAATTTAAAATTAGATTATAAGTTCATGTCTTTTAGGGAAATATTTACTTTATAATATTGTTTAAATATAAAAAAAATATATAGGTTTAAAATGAATTTGGTATATGTATTCCGTTTCTTATTTTTTATTTTTGTAATTTTATTTAATTGATTTTAACTCATGTAAATAGATATTATTTTGTTTTTATTTTAATTCTTTTATAAAATTGATTTATATTAAAATTGATATATGCAATATGAAGATTTATAATTGGTTCTTTTAATATTTATATTAAAATGACAAAAAATTAAATATGTTATTCAATATAAATCAATTTTTATAAAGATTAAAACAAAAGAGCAATTGATATAAGAAAAAATAACATGTGTTTACAATCACCAAACCAAACAAAAAATAACATAAACTACAATTAAAAGTGATATATTTGCACCGACTAAAAATATATTAAACAAACAAATATATCTATATTTGCATTTTAAATTTAGTTAATATTATAAAATAAAAACTAAAAATAATATTATAAAACATGCTTTTAAAGATTTTGCTAAATAAAAAATAGTTTGGATAATACTACCTCTACTCTAAATATAGACATTTCTTATAAAATTGTGAAAATTAAAAAAGTTGATAATAATATTAAATTTATTAGTAATTAATATTAATTTTATAAATTTACCTTGAAAAAAGAGAAGTACCAGTAATATACATTTTTATGATAGTAATCATTATAAAGATGGTATTAATTAAAAATCAAATCTCTAAATCCTAAAATTAATAACACATTGCTCTCGTGTATAATTAATTATACTTTTAAAATGAATTTTAATTAAAGTTAAAATTTATAATTTTAAATTTAAATAAATTAGATATAAAATGTATTATTTAATTTATTTTGAAATAAATTATTTAACATAAACTATTTACATTCAATTTATTTTTAATTATAATAAATTTTTTCACCACATGATCAAACACACCAAAAATAAAGAATGATACTTAGACAAACACGATAACAAATTAAACTAAAGGCAATGCCACATTGTTAAATGGTCCATTACAAAAAAAATAAAATGTATAAAAAAATCAACTTTCATGGCATAATCAAACACACATTAAAAAATAAGCAATGATGCTTAGACAAACTCGATAACATATTAAACTAAAGACAATACCACATGTTAAATGGTGTATTATAAAAAGTATTAAAAAAATATTGTTTCCGTCTTACGATAAAAGTCTTTTAAGATTGTGTAGTATAAAGGATAACATATTAAACTAAAGACAATACCACATTTTAAATGGTGTATTATAAAAAATATTAAAAAAATATTGATTTCGTCTTACGATAAAAGTCTTTTAAGATCGTGTAGTATAAAGATTAAAAAAACTAATTAGTGAAAGAATAAATATAACATATTTATAAAATTTTCTTTAATAATTATTAATTTTTTTTATATTGTCATAAAAAAAAGTGAAATTTAATATCTATATAGTGATATATATATATATATATATATATATATATATATATATATATATATATATATATATATATATATATATATATATATATATATATATATATATATATATATATATATATATATATATATATATATATAATTAATTAGGGATAAAATTGATAAAAATTAATTAATATTGCATTGAAAAAATAAAATATATTTATTTTGAAACAAATTTTTTAAATTAAAGAAATATTTATTTTGAGATAGAGGAAATATTATTTTCACGTCATAACCAAATACACTACAAAATAAACAATCGTGCTTAGGCAAACACGATTCATATTAAATTAGAAAATTTTTAATACATTTCATTTTTTTTTAACGTACTGTGCGAAAATATGTTTATGTTTTTAAGTTTCGTAAATATATCTCCAGACGCATTAAACTTCTACACATTGTTCAATAAGACTTTAAATTAGTGAAAATAATTTATGGGAGTTGCATCTACGTAAATTTTGTGTAGATGCATTTTCGGATGCACGTAACTTCAGTACATATATTGTTTAGGATCTAATGTTACGCAAAATAATTCTAGAGATACATCTCTCACATATTTAAGTAGATGTATCTCCACACGCTATTGGTTTAAATATGTGTCAACGCCCCTTCTCCTTCCTCACTTACTCATACTCTTTTCAAAACCAATGTCATCAAAACATTATCCAACCCCATTAGTCAAAACTACATCAACAACAATCAAACTTCATCAGACATCAGTATTCAAACGAGCATTAAAAATCAAGTTGAAGAGAGAAATTGTAAGTTTTTTTGAAGTTTATTGAGTTTTGTAAAATTGTGTAGAAGTTGAGTTTTAGGTTATAAAATCAAAATATTTTTAGTGTTTACTTGCTTAGAACTACTGATGAACGATTTAGTTGGGTAGTTTTTACTATCAATGAATTTTTTTGTTAGGTTTTAAGGGTTTGCATTTTGCCATTGACGGTCATTGAAGTTGCAGGAATTTCCAGAGATGCATCTTCGAAAATTTTCAATGTTTACCTATAAAGCAGATATGCATCTCGAAAATAAATCTGTATGCAGTCTTTTTCTTTTTTTATTTACGAGTTATTGTGTAACGTTTGTCTTGTATATTTACATGACTTATGGCTGAAAGACCATCTAGATTGAGACATGATAGAGTAGCACAACATGCTTCGGTTCAAAAGGAAAAAAGTCAACCATCTCAGGCTCTTTCTACCTCTAGACCAGTTAATGCGGAGGCGACATCAGGTTACCGGGCTCATGTCTCTCATCCTTTTTCTTCGTCCTTCTGCAGCAGGCAAGGTTCTCCTTCTCATCCTCCCCGCCTCCATCTTCATGTAGCCACATGAGTTCACCTATTCAGGTACCAGAGGCAGCAGAGGCATCACAGTCCCAAGCGACACCTGAGGTACCCTAGTCCTAGGCCACACCGACTGTACGTGATGCATCATAGTCCCATGCGACACCTGAGGTACCCCAGTCCCAAACCACACCGGTAATACCTGATGCATCACAGTCTCAGTCGGCACCTGATGCGTCACAGGCATATGAGGCTGCACCTACGACATCTTAGGGTTTTGGAGAAGGCCCATTAGATTTATCATTATTGTCTCTTTACCCAAACCATGTTGCCAAACATATATGGGACGAAGAGGTAAAATTTAGTCGAAATTATTCAACTTAACTTGTGTTTGTTTCATTATTAAGCTTTGTTTGTTTGAATCATTCTTGTTAAACCATATATGCAGGAATGTGATCCGCTAAAAATCATAAACCATATGTGGAAGGTCACTCGCCTGGAGCCCAATGAGTCGTGATTTTAGGAAGTGTTAAGGCTATCAAGGTTGCGTGATTTGAGCCAGACTGGTTATATTATAGTTAACCATGATATGACTAAGGCTTTTGTAGAGAGATGACATCAAAAGACGTTATCCTTCCATCTACCATATAGTGAGATGTCTATTACACTGGACGATATCGCATGTCTGCTACATCTTCCAACTAGAGGAGATTTTTATATCACGAGAAGTGTGAAAAAGAAGGGGGACTAGAGTTGTTGGTAAAATACTTAGGAATTAAACCAAATAATACTTTGAGGAAGCTTGACAAGACATGTGGGGCTCATGCTAGGTTTAACTATTTGCAGAAGGTGTTTACTGATGGGATAGCAAGAGCACGTCATACTATGGTGATGCGGAGCATGTAGGGCATGACAAAGCGTATGAAGGGGTGGGAATAGGCTAGGCCGAGCTAGGCTTTGTCAAGCCTAAGACTGGCCTGCTAAAAAGTTCAAAGCCTAAGTTTGGCCTGTGGCCTATTATAGGCTTATTTTTTTGCCTAAGTCTGGCTTTTTCGAAGACCTGATTAGCCTGATAGCCTACTTAAAAAGCCTATATCATTTAAATATATGTAAATAAGTAATTCCACTGATGTTTAAATAGACTAAAGAATTAAAAGTACAATGAGACTAAATATTTATTTGAATTGACTTATTTGAGCTTATATAGTAGCATAAGTTTTGTAAGTTTATTTGTTTGAGAAAACTTATGAAAACAACTTATGCCATTATTCATAAGGTTTTTTCAACGTATTTTCACAAGTTCTTCAAGATAACCAAGCTTTAGTTTTGTATTTTAATATAAAGTACAAAATACAATATAAAAAATAATAAATTTATTTATATTTATTAAAATAGTTCGGCCTGATCGGCTTAAAAGGCTTTTCTTATAACATGTGGCCTATCCTATTTAACTAAATAGGCTTATAAAAATCCTAGTCTTTTCTACTTAAAAAAAGTCTAGCTTAGCCTTGGCCTGTGTAGGCTAGGTTGTTGGCCCCTGTTATTTGGCCTGGTCTATTCTCACCCCTAAGTGTATGCTATGAGAGCATACTTGTTGTATTTGGTTGGCACTTCCATTTTTGTAGACAAGAGTGCCACTTAAGCCGATGTCATCTACTTGCAGTACTTCGAGGACTTTGAGCGGGTTCATGAGTACAACTAGGGATCACTTGTTTGGTCTACTTGTACTCTAAAGGGAACCAGACGACTGAGTCGTTCAGGATGTATATTGATTGCTTGGTCTTTGAGGATATATACTTCCATACATATGTGGATCATCGTGAGACAATTCTCTTTGATGATATTGTCTTATACTCTGAATGATTGACTTACGGGTCACGTCTGGCGGCTCCTCATCTACCTGAGTGCATCATGTGTTAGTTCGGCTACATGTAGTATATTCCCAGAGATCCTATTGTGTCTGCTCCTGCCACTATGAAACCCAAAGATATGGATGTTATATTTGATGATTATCTTAATCATATGGTATCAGATGAGGCACGAAGTATCATAGCTCCGAACAAATGGAGCTACATAGACGGTTATATTTGATAGTTCTTCCTGGTGTCACATTCTTGTATGGTAGATGATGCTCCAGACGATCCACCTGGGTCAACTCATCAAGAGAGACTATGGGAGGAGCAGGCTAGTGTAGATCATGCTCATGATATTATGCATAGGTGTCGTCGTATCATGTAGATTAGGCAGGCGAGTATTGATGGAGGACTATTTTTGGATGGCTCTGAGACGAGGGGTGCTGTAGGTGCCATGATGGCGGAGGCTCTGCAGTACAAGAGACATCGTAGGAACGTGGGAAGACGAGACTGAGGCCGAATTATAGTTCGTCATACGCAGTAGATTATTGTATTTGTACTCTTGATATATTTTGGATTGTATTTTATTTATCGACTTTAGTTTAACTTTTGAATTGAAACTGTGTAATCTTGACTTTTATCTTTATATATGTCGTTTTATTCATATTGTTATTATAGTCAAATCTTAGAATATGTTATAATTTTATTTGATGTGAGAATCATTTACAAATTAACATGTTTTACTCTCTGTATAAATTTCGAAAATACATCTCTGACAATATTATAAAAATATATCTCTAAAAAAAAACTAAACATTAAAAATAAAAAAGGGGTACATATAGATATACATCTCTGACAATATTTTTTTTTGAATATATAGAGTGCTTTAAAAAATCCCCTTAAACTAGAAGAAATACCACATGTTAAATGACCTATTATAAAAATAAAAATAAAACAATTTTTGTGACATAATCAAACACACATTGAACAATAAGAAAAATGCTAGTTTACCATCAATTTTTTTACACTACACCTTATATACTATTCACAAATATGTGAACGATATTTTTTATATTATTTTAACACAATTCAGATTTTGATTAATATACATTCTAACATAGAAAAAAAAAGTCTAACGTGATAAATCAACTTTAATTAATATTATGTATTAAATTAGTTAATATAATTCATAAGTTAGTTAGTTAATTCTCAAACGTAAAAATATTAAATAGTAAAATAAAATTAATTAATAGAATGTAAAAATTAGTTAATACATTTGTAAGTTGGTGTATAATATAAATTTTATTGATTAATAAAATAGTAAAAATGATTAATGAATTATATATATAATAATATATTTTTATAGTTAATATAACTGTAAAGTTGATTAATAACACAATATATATATATATATATATATATATATATATATATATATATATATATATATATATATATATATATATATATATATATATATATATATATATATATATATATATATATATATATTAAAAAAGAGGTGTTTTTTTACAGTTATTAAAAAAACATTGTTCAATATATTCTGTGTAAAGTATGGTGTAGAAAAGAGGTGTGAAGCAAACATGATGAAACAATAAACAATCCACAAAAAGAAATAAACAATCCACAAAGAAATAAACAATCGTGCTTAGACAAACACGATACCATATTAAACTAAAGGCTAACATGGTTCATTATAAGCAAAAACCAGTTTTCGAAACCTTCCTAGTAAACGGGGACCGGAAAGTGGTAAACCACTACTACTCTACTAGCACTAGCACAGACTATAGAGAATGAATATCTACATATTTCTAAACCGTACACAACACTACTAATCACAATAATATACACCATTAAAGCTTATCGAATCTACAACATTGCCCTTTTATGTAAGAGAACCAACTATTACTCAGGCATGCAACCCTCTCTCTTTCTCTAAGCTACTTCAATGAAGCTATCATCATTTTGTGGAAAAACACGAGTGGCTCAAGACCACAACCACCTGCGTGGCCGATCAGTTCCGGAGTTGGGTGTCACACTAATCCTATCTGCATTGGTGGACAACCATTTACCAAAATCAGGTGATTGAACGAGCTCTTCCAAGGCTTTTTCAGTGGACTTCTTTGTGAACTCATCCCATTCTGCAGCTGAATATTTTCTTCTTTCAGGTGTAGTGTGTATGATGGATGGATATAACTCCTTTGTCGGCGTTCTAGGTAGCGACCTATTGAAGCCTGGTGACACAAATTTAGCATGTTATGCACAGCTTATGTCGAAAACTGAAAAGTGATATAATTTATATGGACCGAACCTCGTTCAGAAGATTTGAAAGGGGTTATAGGGGAGCTTTTACGTTGTGGCCGATTAAGTGTAGAGTCCTTTATGTTGTCGTAATGCTCATCATCTTCATCATCAAAAGGTGACAAATTATAAACATGGGGTCTCCGGTTTTTCTTGGGTGATTTAAATAAACGCCTGCAAAATTCTCTCATGATCTCAGAATGGTGTATAGTATAATAACTTAAAGGTTAAAAGACGAGACTGGTAAATGTAAATTTAAAATATACATTCAATTACTGTAAGTTACAGCATTCCAAAGATAAAAAGTTACAATATTTTTTGAATTTAGCTCCTCTTAAATAACCAAAGTTCAGAAAAAGGGGGCAGGGTAGTAAAAATTTCAGAAAAGGGGCATGTCTACCAAAAAAAGAAAAGACACTTTGCTGCTGTGAAGTTTTTATCATGGTGAGAGGTTTAGGAATGCATGTGTACTATCACAATTAATATCTGTACTATTGAAAGGCATATTTTCGTTATTGGTTATTGAAATTATGAAGGAAGCCCCAGAGTATAAAGCAGTTGACTAACCTGGGTAAGCGGCGGATGAATCTCAACCTAAGCATCTTTTTCAAAGAGGGAACGAGTGAGCCACATATTAATGCCGATGTTCCCAGTAGAGGATCCATAGAACTCTGGAAACAACATACTCTTGTTAAATCTGTAATCATGTACTACTACTGTATTACTGTGCAGGTAGAAGAGATGCTAAAATGGAGCAAGAAACCATCATAAAGGAAATATGATGTACATTTAAAATTAAAAAATTAAAAAAATAAAAGAAAAATCAGAATGTTATAAAAGAAAAACCTGAAGAATCGTAATAGCGGCCAAAATCCTTATGGCCCATGCAACAAATAAAGCAGTGCTTAAATCCACAGATCCCTCTTCAGTCAGGACAAGCTTTTTGACCACCCAAAATCCTAACCAGGCCCCAGCAATGGCAACAAAAGTGAGCAAAAATATTGCCAGCTGCATTTGACATTTCATGAATTAAGGATTTAAAGACAATCTAGATGAGAAAATGCAAAAATAATAAGCAATGCATACTGCATACGGTAGAAACCGTGTAACAAATTCAATTTAAAGGCAAAAATAATAAGCAGACTGGAAGACAGTGGGTCAACCGGGTAAAGTACAGCGAAGAATTTCCTCTTAGTAGGCTCTAGACATCATGTTGAATTAGGAGATACTAAGAGGCATTTAGGTTAAACCGTGTGACCGAAAGCACAACGAAAGATGAATTATATAGGAGAAAAATACAAATCCTAGTATTAATTACATAGATATCCTATTCTATTCAAGAATACACTAGAGAATATTCTTTATATACATAATTATCAACACAGTGCATACTGTGTAACAAATTCAATTCAAAGGGTGACTGCAAGAAAGAAGAATGATCACTATGTACAATGGGATCAACTCTAGGTAAATTGTTTGATAGCTGAATATCCCAAATTTGGGGTCTATTCCATCTCAACTTCTCTTGTAGGCATATGTTAGGCATATGTTAGTAATAGGCCTCTTATCAAGGATCTATGTTAGAATGAAGCCTGGAGATACAATTAAGCTTGTAGTAAATTGTTTAACTATTATATTGTAGGCTGTTTGTTTAATGATTAATAACTGTATTATGTAGCAGTTATGAAATGGGACAGCAGTTAGTGGTTATTGTATTTTATGTAAATAAATAGGAGTTTAGGACAGACGCGGGGATGGGGATATTTGTCAATAGGTTTGGTTTGGGAGAGACTAGGCTCTAAGTCATAGAGGTTTGTTTAGTTTCCTGCAATTTCTACTGCAATTTGTCAGTTTATAATTCTCTGTTTCCTGTAATTGTCCATGTTGCAGTCTCCACAAAGAAGAAGAATAACAACCTCAGTTCGTACATTCAGAATAATATATTTACCTTTTTGTAATCATTGTATCCACTATACACAGTGTCATCATCCAACTAAAAAATTGAAAAACTACTACAAAATTAAAAACACCGCTATCGTGCTTGAAGAGCCCGAGGCCCCGAGTCTTACATGCATTCTCAACCAAACATGCACAACTCACTGTTCTTTCTTACAGAAGTAGTTTTACTAAAGTTACTTAGGATCTATACTTGGTGTTAAGCTTGACTATAAAATCTTTTTTTTGTTGTTTTTTGCCTTAGGATTTGAAAATCAAATATTTATACAAGAGAAAGAGGAAGAGAATGATTTTTCCAATAATATGAAACTAAGAGAGAATAGTTTGCCGATGGGGAAGAAAAGACTAGGTAAGTATATAAAAAGAGAAAACACACTTTTTCCCTTTTCACTTTTTCTTTTCTGATTTTTTTCTTTTAAACCCTTTATTTATTTTCTTCTTTATACACTTCCAAAAAATTTAAAACACAAACAAATTTGAGAGCAAATCACAAGCACATAATGCACAAATGATGAGTCAGCAGGGAGAGGTGCCTATCATTTAAAAAATTTACTCAAGAGGGGCGAGTTAGTAGAGGATAGCTGTAGGATTAGGCAGTTGACGATATTCTGTTAGTATCTCGTTGTTATTATACGAAATTATTCACATGGGTGAGCCAAATATCTGAACTGGAGATGATAAAGGGGACATCTTTCATTTTGGGCAGTGTTAGACTCTTTCATACTAAATAATATTCTTAGTAATTCCATTCTGTTCATTTGAGTCATCTACTGAATCTGTCTAATAAACTACATGTTCATTTTCATCTGGTACCTTAATAGCTAGCGTAGGCAATCGAATTACCCAACGGGGATATTAGCATTCCTACATATCTGTCTTCTCCGCTATTACTTCCTTCAAGACCTGTGCTGCCTTACGGTAAGTCTCTTCCCTGGGACATCAAACAGGGAAACCATTGTCTACTTTTGCAGCACAACAGTCTAGACATCAATTCCGTCTCATTACGTGATAACTTAATTGCTAATCCTTTTATTCTTTGATAACTATTCTTTATTAGATAATAGATAGCTGACAAAAATGTAGACACTGTAATTCTGCATGTTTCAGTTCCAAGGACCTTTGTTCATGCCATAACTTCTGTAAAAAAAAGTTTTGGTACAGCAGATACAGTTGCTACTGGGTGACCAGGAAATCACACAGCTTTAAATCGCAGAATCGGCGTTTTCTAATGCACGATAGACCCGTAATGGATTTTATTTGCAGTGTTCATATCTGTGCGTTTACCTTTTCTGCTCTTTTGTGTTTCAGCTTACTCAGGTTCTGTTGACAGTGGCAATGATCCGTTGTAAAGTGATAGTGACACCACAAAATGCACAAGGTGATTACCACACTAACCAACTTTACCGATAAAAGAATTCGACCGACCTACTATATAAAGGAAAAAGCACCCAAATTCCTAGAGCACTTCTCATTCTGCAACCGTAACTCTAACTGAACAACTTACTTGAGCATTGGAGTCCTTGCAGTTGGAGACTAGCAGTACCCAGCTACCGCGTTCTGGCGTCTCTGTCCATTTTCTTCACCAAGAAATCAATTACTGCTCACACTTTCCAGTCATCATCCCTTTACAGTGATTCATTTTAATGGATTGTATACAATTTTAATCATGTGCACACTTTATACTAAGTTAACCAATAAAAGACTATATTGCAGGCGGTTAAAACTGCAGTTACAACTATCATCTACTGTAGGAGTATCCTGCTATAACCAATAATCCTATCACTGCAACAATTTCATCACTTTGCATCAGAAAATAAACGTCAGATTCTCTAAAGTTCTCTCAACTGGTTTTCTTCCACTTTCTCATATTTTCTTCCATTCTCACTCACCATGATAGTGTCAAAGGGTAAAAGAGGTAAAAGGATCAAAGTGAATGAAAAAATAGGGATTGGAACCCTAAGTTACTATTCAAGAATTCCTCTGATAAATATAACCAGTGTACAAATACTAGGAGAGTTTGAGAGCAACTTTCTCGCCTCAAGTCTGAATGTTTCTAAAGGCCTGACAAACTCCCCCGTATTTTCTATTTTTAGACAGATATAATTCCGTTATCATCTCCTTTTTGTTTAACCCCCCTCGCATGCACCCATCTTACCATAGGTCTCCTATTACACCAACACAAATCTTACAGTATCATGGTAGGAGTTTTATAGCACAAGGTTGCCAGTTGTCCATGAATTTTTTTGGCAGATAATAAGTTTAAAGACAAAAGAGGTCAGCCCAACCAACATAACCATAATTTAGAATACAAATGAATAAAGTTATATAAAATTACAAAATTAGTGCAGATATTTAACCAAATAAGCAGAAAATATGGGGATGACTTACATACAGGATTATACATGTCCTCATCAATTCCTAACTCCGAAAGTATTGAACAAACCAAACCAGGAATGTAACGGAGGAGAAAAGTCCCCAAGCCAATCTGATTAAAATAATGGTTGAAATTATATGATCGACATTCATTACAAAATAGTGTATACGACTGGAGAGGTGTACTGAGGTTACACTTACAGCAGATGAATATAAAAATATAGCAAAGGAACTTTTCCGACCAGTTGGGAGAAGTTTCATTCCCTGTCAATTAGAAGAGGTAAATTTCACGTTAAAGTCAACAAGAAATTTACAATTGCAATTAAACATCCAAAATTGGTTGAAATTGGATAAATCTCAGGTATCTCATGAATGTTCGAAAGTGAGACATCAAAATAATAATCTGATAGAGAAATCGATCGAACCCTAAAAATCTAGCAACCACATTTTAAAATTAGATAGCTAGACACATAAATACTCATACTAGTCTTTATCTACTTGATATTCAAAAAATTATTCCTCCCAAAATACCGGATTAACTAAAATTACAAAATCAACAAGACAGTTTCAGCAATCAATCAACAATGTCAGTGTTACCTTGGCCAATGGAATCATCCAAGATAAAAATAAAAAATAAAATCATCAGACAAGATAGTTTACAAACAGGTCAAGAGAATAATTGTTCCAAGAGGAGGAGTTGAAGTTGAAAATTTGGTTAATTGCTCCAAAAAAAAAAAATCATCATAAACAGAACATAAGATTGAATGTTAAACAGTCCAAAAATTTCAATAATGTAGGAACAGACTAAGTTACCTGATAAAGAATGATCAATATCACAAGAATTATTCCGATTGCCATTGCACTGCTATAATAAAATGCTAAAGATTGGCTTAAAAAGGATGCCAAGCTCATCAGGGTAACACCCAATATTAACAATATAATGCGATATGCAAAAAATTCTGCAAAGGAGGGGAAAATGTCATATTAGTACTAGACATAATTGTTCTTAAAGGGTTATCAATAGCACTTATGCAACTTCTAATCATCAACTAAGAGCACTTACCTTCTTCAGCAGACACCTCAAAATTCTCCAGTGTTGACCCTACCGTCCTTATATCTAAGAGCTTATGGTCAAAAGGAGACATTGATCGGACCCAAGATCCCTTGGCAACTTTCTCCCACTGGCCTTGTGGGCACATCCCCATAGCAAGAGATGCATTCCTTAAAAAGATACAAAAATCTCCGATCAATTTGCATATCATTTTTCTTAATTCTAATTTCATAGACAGTAGATGAAGCATACTCACCTATGGAAGCAAACCTCTATATTTGGCACGCGAACATTTGAACTTGCGGGCAACAACTTCACTTTCACGGAGTGAGCATATTTTCCCAAGTTTTTAAACCTCGACCGACCATGTAAATGAACTCTTTCAACAATAACAGTAGCACCAGGCTTAGAACCAGGAGAGTTTCCCACAGGAAATCCACGAGATAGCTGCAGTGAAGTATTTTGAACAATAACTGCACACACAGACACACAAAAATGGAAACCAATAAGAGAAAAAGTTTCAAAATCATCAACGGAACTAGGGTTTTGTTTCCCTACGGAGATAATGATATTATCCTGAAAATGTACTTGAAAAACTCGAAGAACTGTCTTGAAAGAGAGAAAAGTAAATGTGCGACAAATACTTGGAAGAAAAAGCACAACGAAACCCTAAAGTTGAGGAATGAAGGGGAAAATAATGCTTACAGAGAGAGTGTTGATTTTCATTGGCGAATACCACAAGTGCAGAAACCCAAAGGAAAATCAGGCGAAGAAAGAAAGCAGAGTGGGAAGTGTGAGTGCACGCCATCGCCGTGCCTGAGACCGGAACAGTGAGTGTATAAACGGTTAAGACCAAGAAGTTGCGCCTGATTTCCAAATAAGCAAAAAGTTGAGGGCAATTATGCAATTTCATACATAGTCTCGACTTTCTTTATGTGCAATTCTTTTGGGCACCCTAACTTGATTTCTTCTACCACCATGAAAAAGGAGAATTTAACTAGAAAAAACCTAGGTACACATAAAAATAATATTTGGTTTTACAAACAATCGATCAGATTTTTTTTTAATTAATTAAAAAATAAAAATATAATATTTTCTCTCCTTAATAATCATAACTATTTCATGATGTCAATTTAAAAAGAAATTAAGTTTTAAATAAATAAATAAAAAATTATTGATTGTTTGTAACACTAAAGATTTATGTTCTTAAACATGTAAATTTTTCTCAATTTAACCTGACATCCCACAAATTATATTTACTACTTCTCATTTTTTACAATGTCAAAAATATCACTGACAAAAAAAAAATGGTCGAATAAAATTTTTGGTATTCATTTAAAATTGTCGATAATAAAATTTTAGGTTGTTTATTCAAAATTTCCGGAAAACATGCATTTCAAAAATCTACAATATAATAAAAGTAAAACTTTTTTCTTCAATTGATTTGTAGCCGACATGTGACTTCTTGAGAAGAGAGCAAATATTTTGCTTCAAATACCTATCTTCTGTTTTCGTTACATTTTTTATCCATTCAATCAAAATCGGCAGTTACAAAAACACACCCTCTCATCTTCAATTTTTTTTTCTGATTCTCAACATTCCACTACCACTGACCCCGTGTAATGCAGCAGTTACGTTCTTCTTAGAACGTTTTCCCTTTCAATCGCCCCACTCTCAATCATGATTCTAATATTTATAACTTTCATACTGGCTACTTCTTCCTCATCTTCGTCTCCCAGAAATCCTCATCCATCAAGGTTTTCCTGCTTCAAGCAACCGACTGTATTTCATGGCCAGACCTGTGGCGAAAATCTACGACATCAATGATAGCAAAGAGTTGTGGAAGGTCTATGTGCGAGTGCATCATAAATGGAAGGTTCTCTCTCACAACATAGAGCATTTTGAGATGATATTTCTGGACAAGGCAGTAATTTTTGTTTTCTGTGCATCTGTGAATCATATGTTGTTTTTTGTTTATTGTTTTTTGGTTACACATTAACCTTTTCTGTGTATCTGTGTTGCACAGGGTGGGGACATACATGATGTTGTCCCAGTAGCATATATGTCTCTGTTCGATGAAAAATTGGCAATGGACCATACTTACACGGTATCAAATTTTAAGGTTCAACCTAATGTCTTGGCTTTTAGACCTTTGTCCACATGATTCTATTAGCCTCATATTGTATTAAAGTTGTATATCGTATATGCAGATCACATTTTGTGCAACTGTTGGTGAAACTAAAATGGTGGTTGCGTCTCCTTATGGCTGGTATTATCGTGTCGGTCATGTTTGCTCATGCATATAGTGTTGAATGATTAGAATAAGTCAAATGCAGTGTAATTGGTTTTGAAGTGTTTTTAGAGAATAGCTTATTTGAGAAGCTATTTTGGAAAAGCTGCCAGTATGCTGCAGGAAACCCTGTTTTGTTACTTTGTTTAGTGTTAGCAGGCACTATATATACATTTTGTAACATGTTGAATGGAATTAATGCCATATGATTTTTTACCCTCTCAATTAATCTCTATTCTCTCTAAACTTGATCTTCCCCAATCCTCTAATTTCACCAAAATTATCCATCATCTCCATTGATTCACATACAAGGTTTTGTGCTTGTTCTAACATTTGGCATCAAGAGCATTGGTTATTGATCCCAATCCGCTGCAACACCAACAATGGCTACCGTTTCCAATGATCGAATTCCCACCAATCTCCCAATTCTTGATTCGAAGAACTACGACAAATGGGCGAAACAAATGAAGGTTCTGTTTGGTTATCAAGAGGTTCTTGAGATCGTCATCAATGGAGTTACACCATTAGGGGCAGATGCTACCGATGCTCGTAGGGCTACACACAAGGAAGAAAAGAAAAAGGATTACAAAGCCCTATTCTTGATTCACTCTTGTGTTGATAACGACAATTTCGAGAAGGTTGGTGATTGTGAATCCGCGAAGCAAGCATGGGAAATCTTGGAGAAAGCGTATGCCGGTGCCGTCAAAGCGAAGGTGGTAAGGTTACAAACTTACAAACGTCAATTCGAGTTAACGCAAATGGAGGACAAAGAAACGATCAACAATTACATAACGCGCATTACCCGGTTAGTCAACCAAATCAAGTCATGTGGCGAAACGATCCTTGAGCATAATGTTGTATCGAAAGTGTTGCGTTCGTTAACATCACGTTTCGATAACATTGTTGTGGCTATTGAGGAGTCAAAGGATCTAACAACTTTGAGTAAAGATGAGTTGCAAAGTTCGTTAGAGGCGCATGAACAAAGGATGGATGAGATAAGTGCCGACAAAGCCAAAGCGGAGATCGCTTTGCAAGCGCGTTTACATGAGAAGAACAATAGATCGAAAGGGAAGTGGACTTCAAAAAATAAGAAGAATTTTGGTGGAAAAGATCCACAAAATTCAAAGGGTGAAGGAAGCTCCAAAGATGGTAATCAAAGCGCCCACAAATCGTTTGACAAAAGTTCTGTGAAGTGTTATAATTGTCAAAAGCTTGGGCATTTTGCGAAAGAATGTCGCTCAAAACGTAAGGAAAAGGATGCGGATGAGGCGAAGGTTGCTAGGGAAGAGGTAGATGATGAAGATACCCTTCTTGTGATGATTACGGAAGAGAATTATGGCATTGTTGATGTTCCGGGCAGCAGCTATTGTGATGATAGTGTGTGGGACAACAGCTGTACTGTTTTGGAAAGTGGCGAAAAAATGTGTTCGGATCGAAATGCATTAGTTACCGTGCGTGAGGGAGTCCAAATTAAAGATGAATGGTACTTGGATTCCGGTTGTTCAACACATATGACGGGTCGAAAGGATTGGTTTGTGCAAATCAATCAAGCGACAAAGAGTAAAGTCAAGTTTGCCGACGACACTACTTTAAGCGCCGAAGGGGTAGGAGATGTTTTGATCGGAAGAAAGAATGGTGGACACTCTAGGATCAAAGATGTCTTGTACATACCGGGAATTAAGTGCAATCTTTTAAGCATTGGCCAATTGCTTGAAAGAGGGTACTTAATTCGATTGGAGAATAAGATGTTACGCGTTTTAGATTCAAATGGTGTGTTGATTCTAAAAGCGCCGATGGCTGCCAATAGAACTTTTAAGGTTGAGTTAAAGGTTATGGAACAACGTTGTTTAGCTACCGCGGCAAGTAGAGATGAGTGGTTATGGCATTACCGTCTTGGTCACCTAAACTTTAAGGATCTTAAAATGTTGCAACAAAGTGAAATCGTAACGGGGCTGCCACATATTAGTGTTCCGACATAATTGTGTGAGGAATGTGTCACATCTAAGCAACATAAGAAGGTGTTTAGCAAGGATGCGGGTCGGAGAGCCAAAGACTTACTTGAGGTGGTGTATTCCGATGTTTGTGGACCAATGCAAGTAGAGACATATGGCGGCAATCGATATTTTGTTACGTTTATTGACGATTTTAGTAGGAAGCTTTGGACTTATCTTATCAAGAGAAAGGATGAGGTATTTGGAGTGTTCAAGAGTTTCAAATCCATGGTGGAGCGTCAAAGCGGCCGGAAGCTCAAAATTCTCAAAACGGATGGTGGAGGTGAATATACCTCTAGTGAATTTGGGAAGTTTTGTGATCTTGAGGGTATTGTGCGTGAGGTGGTGCCTCCATATACGCCTCAACAAAACGGGGCTGCCGAGAGGAAAAATCGTACAATAATGAACATGGTGCGTAGCATGCTTTGTGGGAAGAAGTTACCTAAAGAATTGTGGGGTGAGGCCGTATCTACAGCCACCTACTTGTTGAATAGGTGTCCTACTAAGAAGCTGGAGAAAATCACACCGGAAGAGGTTTGGAGTGGTTTCAAACCGAGCGTGGTTCATTTGCGTGTTTTTGGATCGATTGCATATCGTCATGTACCAAATCAACTTAGAAAGAAGTTGGATGATAAAGGTGAGAAGTTGATATTTGTTGGATATCACTCTATTGGTGGTTACAAGCTGTTTGATGAGAAGAATCGGAAGATCGTGATAAGCCGGGACGTGACTTTTGATGAAATCAAAAGTGCAGAAACAGCAACAGAAAATCAGCAGCAGCAGTTTTTTGAAATCTCTGATCCGGAGTTGTCTGATGCCGCTGTACCAGCACCTACAGCAGCTGAAAACAATGTTGTGAATGAGGGTAGACCAACAAGGCATAGAGGTATGCCTCAAAGACTCCGAGATTGTGAACTGTTCCGAGATAGTGAGATCAACAATGATGGTGATCTTATTCATTTCGCTTTAATGGCCGAATCTGAACCGGTAAATACGGAGGAGGCATTAAGCGATCCAAAATGGATGTGTGCAATGAAGGAAGAGTTGAAATCAATTGAGAAGAACAATACTTGGGTGTTGGTTGATTTACCGAAAGGTAAAAAGGCGATTGGTGTGAAATGGGTTTACAAAGTAAAAGCAAATCCGAAAGGCGAGATAATCAAGCATAAGGCTCGATTGGTAGCAAAGGGATTTTTGCAAAAAGAAGGCATAGACTTTGATGAGGTATTCGCACCGGTTGCAAGGCATGAAACCATCCGGTTAGTTGTTGCGATTTCAAATAACAACAGTTGGTCGTTATATCAAATGGACGTCAAATCGGCGTTTTTGAATGGTCCATTGGATGAGGAAGTGTATGTTGGACAGCCACCTGGTTTTGTGATACAAAATCAAGAGGAAAGGGTCTACAAATTAAGGAAGGCACTCTATGGTTTGAAACAAGCTCCAAGAGCTTGGAACAAACGCATAGATGTTTTTCTTATCAACATTGGTTTCAAGAAGTGCGTATCCGAACACGGTGTGTATGTG